ATTGAGTAGATTTCAAGTAAATTGATTAGTTTTACAAGTCATAATTAAAAGTGGAGGCAACCTAAAATTGAAATGAAAGTGCAAAGGCGATCAATTTAATTTAGGAAAAATTAGTAAAAAGTTCATCTTAAAGGGAGTATAAGACATTAGATTTAAAATAAAAGGTTGCGGAAAAAAATTGCCGAAGCCGAAAAAGTCACGGATATCAGGAAAGTTGTTAGAAAAGTCACCGATAGTGGTGACCAGCGACTAGTGGCAATGGTGGTGGTAAGGTAGAGAAATGTGTGGTAATCAACATATAGGTTATTGAATTAGTGATAAGTGTCAGATTTCAATAGATACTTAGTTTGATGAATTTTAACATATAGATAAATAGGTTGATTTCGACAAATAATTACCCATTTAAATAAATTGTGTCTGTTTGGCCTAAAAAGATTAAAGTTGGGCCCTACCCAAAAGATTCAAAAATAGACATAGTGGCCTCAACGTCCTTTAATTTAACCATAAAAAAATAAATAAAAAATAAAACCATCTCACGCCAAATAAAAATAAACAGCTAAACTACATTGATCTATTTTTAGATTTGAAAAAAAAATATTAAAGTTATGCAATTTTGTTATAATTATATTAACCTTCTTTTTAGTAAATCTAAAGTAATAGAAACTAATATAGATGGTGTGAATACATAAAAATAAATAAAGTAAAATATATATTTTAATCTAAAAAATATGACATCATTTTTCTATTTATATAACTAATGAATTTTTTATCAAAAGGAATTGTTAATTCAAACCTTAAGAAAACTCAATATATTATATCAAACTTATAAAATTTATGATATTTTTTTTAAACCTCAAAGAGTTATGTATGTATGTAAGCCCAGAGAGAGAGAGAGATCTCTAAGAGATTTCCGGCAATGCTCCGGTGATTTTACGGCGACATTCCGACGACTCTTTTTATATTTTTAAACTGTAGATCTACACTCTTAGAGTATAGATATACAGTTTTAGAGTGTAAATTTGGACTTTTTATATCCGAAATTAGAGTTTTGAGAATTTTCTCTTCCAATTTTGACATAGATTTTTGAATTTTCAATACCCACAATGGTTCTCTCATCTCTCAACCATTTTCCCATACCATTGTGAGTGTCATTCCTTTTCCGACAATAACGGTAGCGGAGTTAGGCATCAATGATGGGGACGACGTCAACGGGGACAGCGGGCTTTCAAGCAGATCGTGCTTTTCAAATCACATCTTTGAGTAGATCGTTGGTTTTTCTTGGATCATAATTGTTCTTTTTGGTGGATTTCTTTTTTGTTGTTTGTTGTTTGTTGTTTGTTGTTTGTTTGTTTTGTTGTTTTGTTGTTTGGTTGGGATGACCCTTTGGGGTCTTGATTATATATTGTTATTGTCTTTTATTAATATAATGTTTCTCATGTTCTAAATAAAATAAAAATAATAAAAATAAAAAAGTCTACTTTAAAAAAAATTATAATGGGAAAGATTAAAAAAATGCCAATGCCTGCCATGTTTGTTACTATTTAAGGATACTTTCAGACTATAATACATAACACAGGGATTATGAGGTGAGAAAACGGGGGGGAAAATTACCAACATAGGAAAGGGTATAAGTGATACTTATACCCCCTCATAATCTTTTATTTGCAATTTACTACAGGCACACTTGCATCTCATGTATTTGTAAATTTTTTTCCCTTCTCCCACCTACATGTAGTTTCCCGTTATAATGGCATCTCTATTCGATTTTGAATTTTCAAATTGCATTTTTTAAATTTTGATCTATTTTTTTAAATATAATTAATCTAAATATATTTTTTTAAAAATCTTTAAAAAATATAATAATACAAAAAATTTAAAAATGTATTAAATTTTTGTATTTTTAGTATTTAATGATTTTTTTTTAAATCATAAAATTGTATACTATTTAAATATATTTAAATTAAGTAAATCTAAAAATTAAAATATATTGATAAATAAACTATTTAAAAAGTTTACTGCAAAAGTGCGAATTAAAAATTCAAAAATTATTTTAAAAAATTCCAAAACCAAACATCCCTGTCAACCAAATCAATTAGCCACACAAAACAATAAAAAAAAATGTAATCCATTGAATTTAGGATAAATTACACTTAACTCTCAAGAATTGGAAAAAATACAACAAATTCTATAATTTTAACATAATTACACTAACTTTTCTTTTAGTAGAATGAAACTAATATAGGTGGTGTGAAGACACAAAAATAATCAATGCGAAATATATATTTTAATGTAAAAGATTTCACACCATCATTTTTTTGTCATATAAAAGCATATCCAATCTTTCACGTTTTCTTCAAGGTGCTTAAAAATTATCTCCAATTGTTACATTAAATGTTCATCAAATCAATAGAAAGTCATTTTTTCATCAAATCAATAGAAAGTCATTTTTTCATCAAATCTTTCATTTAATTTGAATTTAATGAAAATTTAAAAAGATGAAGCTGGAGAGATTATTTTATTTTATTTTATATCAAATTTGATGGAAAGAAAATTTTGGGAATAAGAAGGAAATTTTAAAAACGACTTCGATAAAAATTTGATGAAATAATCAGAATAGTTCATATCAAATTAAGTTTTTTACTCGAATTTAGAATTAAAATATATAAAAAAATGGTGATGGGTTTAATAACTAATGAATAATTGATGAAAATTGAGTTAAATGATATATGAATTAAAATTTGAAGAAAACCTAATGTAATTATATATTTTTTTTATATGGAAAATATAATTATGTTAAAACTATGAAAATTGAGTAAAATGGTATATGAATTAAAATTTAAAGAAAACCTAATGTAATTATTTTTTTATATATAAAATATAATTATGTTAAAACTATAAAATTTACTATATTTTTTTTCTAAATCTCAAAGAAATTAATGTGATTTACCTTGAATTTATTTAGCAATTGCTTTTACACGTAACATACCAAAAGAGATGGCATTAATTGATCCAATAATGAGCTCAACTCAGATATTTGATTTTTGCTCAACTCAGATATTTGATTTTTGTAATCTATATAAACTCATTGAGTCGAGTAACAATTTATTCAAATGTGATTTATTCACAAAATGAGTCTTCTTGAGCTAACTTCTTTTAACAAGCCGAATATGAAGATGAGCCTTTAGTTACACATTACAATTTATCTCAATACACATTTTCTCACTTCACACCTTCACACATTTTGATTTTTGCTCTATTCACAACATTTTATCCCACATAATGCCCCCATCTTAAATTCTAACCCAAACCCTAACCTTAACCACCCACTGTAGCCACTTTTGCCGCCAGAGCTACCTTCCCCTATCATCTTCAACCATTCTTGTCCCCTCACTCTCCACCCCAACACTCATCACCTCCCTACCCCTACAACACACAGGACCGGCCATGACATCTTCCTAGCCCAAGTTAAAATCTTAAAATAGGACCCTTTATGTATTAAAAAATAAATTATTTCTTCAAAATTTTACTTTAAACGTGTATAATGTCAATTGAAAGTTAATTTAATATGAGCCATACCTAAATGAATGAGATATATAAATATATTTTGTGTTAATTTTTAAGAATATATATAAGGGGGTTGCACCAATAAATCCCAAATTAATAATTTATACACTGTTTAGTCCTAAAAGTTTTCTTATAGACTGAAAGGTCCCATTACAATGTTTCAAACATCAGATTAATGTTTCAAACATTAGATTTCGAACATCATATTAATGTTTTAAACATTAGATTGATGTGCAAATGGGACTAAATGGAGCATAAAAAAACTTTTAGGACTAAATGGTTCAATTTTTCAGAAACTAAGACTTATGGGTAAATTTTCCTATATATAATTAATGTATACATAATCATTAAAAACTGTAAATAAAATGGTAATTAATAAGTACTTGCATTTTTTTGTTTTTACTAATGCCCACACCCTTTCATAAATGTTGATTAATTCAAATAGAGAAACTTGTTTTATTTTTTATTTTTTTATCAAATTTGAATTTAATGAAAATTTAATAAAGATAAAGCATTGGAGATATAAAAAAATAAAAAATCATCAAATTTGATGAAAGCAAAAAATTGCAGTAAGAAGAATTTTTAAAAAGATTTTAAAGAAACTTTGATAAAATAGTTGGAATAGTTTATATCAAATCAAGCTTTTTTATTCCAAATTAAAATTAAATTAAATGAAAGTAATGAAGAGTTAGAGATGCTCTAAGGATCTTTAATTTAGAAAGCAAAATTAAATTAGTTAATTTGGACCTTTATTTTTAAACCTACTAACGTTATAAAAGCTAAAACTATTTGGGGCCAATTTGCTCATCTTGGGCTAGGGCCGGCCTTTGCTACACAGCCGCCTATTGCCACTCCCAACCGTCCTCTTCAAACCCTAGATTTGGAAAACTCAAACCCTTTCACAGCACGGGGGGAGGATGTGGCCGCAAGGGTGCTGCATTGCCATGGTAAGGGGAACTACAAGGGTGGGAAGTCGATTAAGCAGGGGGCTACAATGGTTGGAGTTGGGCAGCGGAGATGAGCTAGGCAGCTGTGACAGTGGTTAACGAAAAGGGGGTGCAGTGAGGATATTGGGGGCCACTAGTGTAGCTGTGGTTGTAGGTAGTGATGGCAGGCAAAGGGTGGGGAGCAACAGAGGTTGGCAATCGGCAGTGCAGGTGGCTAGAGGAAAAGTATGTATATTTGGCTGTTAATGACAATTGGGTCAAGGGGCACAATCGTAATTAAAAAACTGAGAAAATGAAGTTTACTAGAAAAGTATGCAAATAGAAGCTCCTTAAGCTTCAGTACCTTAGTTTACAGCTGTATCCCTCAACAAAGCAGGCATTAAATTAACAGAATAACCCCATTCATTTAACAACCAATCTCCAGACCACCCCAAGACCCAGAAAGTTCTACAAAATAAGACTGCCCAAGCCATTCACAGAAGTCACAAGTTACCATAACTCAGGGCAAAGCCATCAATTTTTCTCTTAAAAAAGCATAAAGGTAAAAACATGCAAAACTGCCCGTACTGAAGGTTCTCAAAAAAACAAAACAAAAAACCAACTACAGTACAGGGAAAAACAGAACCAAACAGGAATAGCTGAAGAAATTCTAGGCAACACTTACTACTACTAGTATTGCCAAGATAAACTACACTGGCTGCTAGATCTCACTCTTCATCTTCTTCATCTCCATCACCACCAGAAGCCTTCTTGGCAGCTGCCTTCATGTTCCTTCGCTTCACTCTACCAGGACGTCCACCCCCAAGAGGACTCGTTAGTGAGAAATCAATGTGCTTCTGCGAGTCCAACCTCACCATGAAGGAGGGAACGTTCACCACCTGCCTCCCAACCCTGCAATGCCAAAATAATAAAGTAAATTACTAAAATAAATATTTAATTTATGACAAGATAACATGACAATGATTGGAATGCATCTCTATAATACTATGGGCGACTCTATTGTCAAGGCCGTTACCATTCAGATTGAAGAAAAATCAAACCACATTAAGAAGGAAAAAGTCACTACTTTTTTTTTAAAAAAAGATCTTAAACTGGACCAAAGCCACTGCCTTTATTTAACCATTAAAAAGGAAAAACTCCCTTCTTTCTTTTTTTTAAAAAAAAAAAAAAAAAGGAAAGGACACAACACTTGGAAAAAGAAAAACCATTCCAGTCTAGGCTGTATACATGTAAGTGACGGTGAACCTTCAAATAATTATTACCATAGGTAGACAATACAGCATTATGTCTTACTTACAGCATAAGGCCAAACCTCAATGTGGTCCAGCATAATTTTCCCACAGACTATTCTAGTTTCTAGAAATCACAACAATAATCAACATATCCATTAAATACTGCAATGACACTCATTGGACACTTCTCGACATGCATTGGCCACATGTCCAAACGAGTACTATAACTTAGATAAAATAAAACTAAACCCAAACAAATTTTGAACATTTGAGGGACACACTGTCAAATGTTTACACACATAAAAGACACACTACACATTTGAACATAATTTGGGATCCAATAATAAAAAGATTATACTTTATTTATTGCACTCACTTTTATGCTGGATGTGCAATCTTTTTACGCCTCCTATGCCCTTAGGGCACACATTAACAAAAATCCATAAATAAATATATATATATAGATTTAATATGGTGGGTGTTAGAAAAGAAAGGGGTGACACAAGGTTATATTGATATGATTAGGGACATATATGAATGGGTAGTGACCACTATTAGAACGTCTGCTGGAGAGACAAATGACATATATGAATGGGTGGTGCCCACTATTAGATCGTCTGCTGGAGAGACAAATGAAATTCCTATCACTGTAGGGATACACCAAAGATCTACCTTGAGTCCTTAACGAGAAATATTTAAACCGACGTGTCATAGTGATACTTTTTGCAAACGATATCATGCTAGTGGATGAGACTACAAAACGACTTAACAAAGTTGGAGATTTAGAAAAAAACACTCGAATCTAAAGGATTCCGAATAAGCAGAACTAAGACAGAATACATAAAGTGCAAATTTAGGATTGGTTTGGGATGTTCTAAAAAAGTGCACTTTTTGACTTATTGGCTTATATGGGTTGGGTTTGGGTTGGGTTTTATGTGATGTGTTAGAGAGGTGATGTGATTTAAATAAGATGATGTGACTTAAATAGGATAGTGACTTTTTGACTTTTTGTATTATTTAGGTCATGTCAAACTTGGCCTTAGTAACAGTAACAATAAAAGCAAAGGAGAAGTAAAGATGGAGAACCAATAACTGCCTAAGAGTGAATATTTTCATTATTTCGGGTCGATTGTCACAACAATGGGAGAGATTGATGCGGATGTGCCCCATAAAATTAAGGCGGGATGGTGTAAGTGGAGAAGTGCATCTGAGATACTGTGCGATAAACGAATACCCACTAGACTAAAAGGTATGTTCTATAGAATGGCTATTAGACCAGCGATGTTGTATGGGATAGAGTGTTGGTCAACAAAGAAACAACATGTAGATAAGATGAGTGTAGATAAGATGAGTGTAGTTGAGATGAGGATGCTAAGGCGGATTTGTGGCAAGGCTAGACAAAACAGAATTAGGAATGAGTGTATTCAGAGAATGGGTAGGAGTAGCACCGATAGAAGATAAGTTGAAAGAGAATCAATTGAGATGATTTGGTCATATTCAACGAAGATCAACAGAGGCAGTAGTAAAGAGATACGATACAGTGACACTAGATGGAAGTGTTAGGGGATCAAGTAGGCCTAGATTAATGTTGACTAGCGTTGTAAATAGAAATATGGATATACTTAATTTAACTAACGAAATGACCTTTGATAGAGCCACGTGGAGAAGTAAGATTCAAGCAGTCAACCCCATTTGATGGGACTTAAGGCTTGATTTGGTTAGTTGGTTGGTAGATTTATACTCATTAATTTCTAAGTCTTTAAACGTTAGAAATTAATTATATATTGCATTTTTTATATTCTTTGAATGAAATATTTACATAAATGACACATAATAAATATATAAAACTACATATTTTGCATGTGTCCCTCACATGTTGTATTCTGCATCTTTTGAAAATTGTAGTGTCAATGTTTGTGCATGCCCATGCTTATTAGCTACACACCTTTCTTCACCTTTTTTCAAAAGACGGAATAATACAAGATCCTACTTCAAGATTCAAAGGATGGTTGGTGTGTATCTCGATTCGACACTCACCTATTCAATTATCTAGATGCCAGGGCAAAAGTCATAAGTATGAACATATGTCTGATCACACAACTATATGTATATTATATATAATAATAGTGTTAAACATAATTATATAAGAAGTGTCCATTGAAAAGTATCCGACACATATACCCTTGTCCGAGTGTCGAGTGTCCGACACAAGTATTTGATTTATTTTGAAAAGTCCGTGTAACATAACTGATCATCAAACTAAGCAAATAGCAAGGCAAGAGAAATGACAAGGAGACGGACGAAATTTCTAAGCTATGAGTTCACTATAGCCTATGGGTTTGGGCTAGGTTGAGATTATTCACAAAAGAAAACAAGAAGGCTGACGAGGTTAGGGGAAATCAAAAGGAAAAAATAAAAAAAATAATATTGGGATAGCTCATCATGCATAAAATTACAAATACGGAAAACAAAATTCACTGGTAAGATCTAAAAATTGATGAATCATAAAACTATAAAGTTAAGGACCTTTCACTTAATTATATTATACATACAGTAAACCTTCTACTAATACAAGTATGATGTTATAGCTTATAACATACAGGTCTATGTATTTAATATACATGGGTGTACTGTCTTTTGCCACAAAAGACAAATCTTGCATTCACCAGACGATGCCTTTACACATAAACTCTGCGGCCCCAGTTTTAGTATTTTTTTCAAAATTCATACCATTTTGTATGCAAATGCAACTATCATGAAAGAGAAAATGCCAAAATCCAATTAAAAAAGGAGAGTTATGCTTCATTTCATTTACTTCTAGAAAAAACTACATAATCTTCAAGATGTATTTCAAATTCTCTTTTCTGGTAGAGAGGAAGATGTGCCCTCATTAGCATACAAACGAACAACTCTTGATAAGACTTCAAACGGATCTTTTATTTGTGGGTTGTACGAAATAAATGCCTTTGTGAAAGTAACTAGCAGTAAACAAGCATTGCCTAGATCGTCTACAGGAAAAAAATTACCACCCCTTTACAAGAAAGTAATAGAATCAGATTTTAAGCATCAAGGGAGATCAAGATTTTAGTGACAAACACAGTTTTTATTTACAAATTGGTAGCACTTAGGGTTTGAAAATACAAGTCATTGTTTACAAATTCTTTAAACCAGATTCAAAAAATTTAAACTTGCATAAGATACATACCCGTTACCAAAAGATTAAACAACACAAAAACACAATAGAAAAATAGTGTGTAGAATGCAACAGGATTTTTTTGCATTAAAATCTCCAGTCCAGCTTTTAGGCATATATTTCTTTCTAGCACACTCCTTTGAAATACAAAATATGATTTATTTAAGCATGGTGAAGTTCTACTCCAATATCAAATTTACACTATGTTTGGATATGTAGGAGAGAAAAATAAATAAATGATGTGTTCACTAAGGAGAGAAAAGATTGTAATTTCTCTCTCTTGTTAAGAAGAAAGTGATTTCTCTCCAATCTTATTTGAATGGACTACATAAAAGAAAAGAAAAGAAAAGAAATTCTTTTAGGTTATATTACTAAAAGAACCTATTTATGTTTTTCTTTCTTTATTATCTAGATGGACAGTTTTAGTATTATATAAAATTAGTAATCTCATTTCTTTTCCCCCTCAATCTCTCCAAATTGGAGAGATTCAAAAAGTGGGTTGTAAGAGAAATTAATTTCTCTCCATTTCTCCTCATTTCTCTCCTTATCTCCTCTTTAGTAATTTAAACAAGTGATTACGATGAAGAGATATTGATTGCTTTTCTTTTCTCTCCAAATCACTCAATCCAAATGGATTGTTAGCACATATTAACATGC